CTGTAGTCTTATAAGTTTATTGTTATGAGTTTCTATATAGCTGGATTTCTAAATATGTCAGTAATGTCAAGATAATTCCATATTACTAAAGACTAATCAGGTTCTGAAGCATATCAGTTAATTGAACAATTATTTTGCAAGCAAATAATTAACCCAATAAACCTCAGTTAATTTCGGAGTTAGAAAAATTTCTTTCCCAATATTCTTAAATGAAAATACACTGTTCTGTAGACCAAACTATAGTATCCAATGCCCCTGATAAGCACATATGATGGTCACTCCAAATGGACTAGGGAAGGGAGCTAATTTAATTGGGATACTGATCTTTTCTGGACAATTAACAATAATTACAGATGGGGCTTTCATTATGAACTATGTGGTAATCAGTTTTAAGACCTAATAACATTGTTTCTGAAGCCTTTTATCCTATGCAGTATTAGCAAGAAGACTGAAAGTGTATATTTTCCTTTGTTCCATTTTATATATTGAATGTTCTCTTAAAAACAAAAGTTGTCACCACTGAATGCAACACCGTTTTCACAGTGACTGTTAACTGCTTGAAGCATTAGCATAATCATCTTCATTAACTGTTTTGAATTCCAGATCCTGAGATCAATCCTTTTTGGTATGTGGGTCGTGGAGTTCGACCAATTGGTCGATTTGGGAAGAGGCAACTCAAGTTTGGTCAAAAGAGGTTGAGACCTGTGTGTTGCAGCTCAGATCTGATACTTACTGCTCTACAGGAACAAGAAGCAACACAGCATGATGGATGGTGACTTTGAGTCTTCTTAGTGGAAAAAAAATACAGTTGCTTTTCTCTATTGAAACACCATCTCCTTTCTTCTGGTTCTGTAGTTGCAAGCTATTTCATATGCAAATGATAAGCGTTTAAGTCCAAAAGTTTGCAGTTGAAGCTAAAACAGTATTCTATTTCTAAATTGTATGTGGCTAATTGGGGTGGGAGGAGAGAGAGAAAAGGCATTTTTGCTTCTTGAAGATGTGGGTCCCATTTCAAAGAATCTTGTGAACCATATTTGTCTGTGCATTAGCAATGGCAGATGCATACTGTCAAAAGATGGGTTGCGTACTGTACTCACTTGTGAAGGAAAAGGAGCATGGATTCAGTCCCTGCTATTTAATCTCCTACTGCCTCAAGCTGGTGATTGACTATGATTGCCATGTGATATGGACTGTGAATCCAGCATATGTAGGAATGAGCACATAACTAGATATTAGATTAATAAGATTTAACTTCAGAGAACCCATTTGTTTGAATAAGACCACAGTTATAACTCATGTTGAACTGGGAAAATCTCCAGTGATTATAGCTCAGCTAGAAAATGATTGAAAAAAGTTATAGCCAATATATGCTACACTTTATTTTGTAATACTTCAGTGTGTCATTAAAAATGGAAATAACATAAATAAACCTAATGTAATAGCCACTGATGTGATGTTATTCTTGATTAGTTTTAGGCTTGTTACCAGTATTGACGTATAAAGCAGGATAACCTCTCAGGCAACAGAGCTTAGTACAGCAGACTGTTTTATTCAATCTGTGTACAAACCTTAGGGAAATGAAGCCTATGCAATAGTTTCATTAGATTATTTCTCATGCTTAAGTAGTGGGAAGGGAATGCCATTTTTACACTGTTTTCTGGAAAGCTTAAATTTACAGTTCCTGGATTTAATAATGGAATCACTGGGAATGAACAACATGACATGCTTGAAAAGTATATTGTGCATATTGTGTAATTTTTCCCAACATGGCAATTGAGGAGTAGTAGTGCAGGAGCAGCTTCATGGTTCTGGCAAAGTAGGAATAGAGTTCCTCTTATATACAAGAACCCAAGTGCCAAATACCACTGGCAGGAAAATTCATACCAGATGGCCTAGGTTACAAGGCCATCCTTCCAAACTCTGATGTAAGAACCAGAAGCCTTGTTAGCTCAATATGAGAGTAAAGAGCCTGGCAAATCAGCTAATCTTCTTGAGCATGCAGATACGTTCTGTGACTGGGGTGTTCTACCTTCTGAGGGACAAGCTGGTCACATTGGGGAAGTTCCTGAGAAAAACCATGGATTACCAATAATCAGTCTGGGAGCTTCAGTTTGCTTGAACACCTTAACTTACATGCAGCATCTTTCACACTCTTCAAACAGGTTGCTGAGTTTCTTATTTGTAATGTCTTCATTGTGTGTTGCATTTAACAGTGCTGGAAAAAATACATGGTAAAATCAAGTTTTCAGTGCATCAATCTGCAGCCTAGATCTGATTGATATGATTTTGTGCCTTTGTTGGTGAAAACTACCAGGGTTATAGAAGGGACAATGTTGGGTAAAAATGCTCTGGTGTATATCTGAAAATGTTCCTATGATAATATGGTCATTGAACAGATGAAGGAATATGTACATAGAGCAGATACACAGGATACTGGACTTAAATCCTCATATGAGTCTTTAGTAAATTATTCATATTTCTAAACACTGAGCATTGAATCAGAAAATATGTGAATATCATGGTCTCCAAAACCTGTTTTTCATAAATCATTTGTTTTACTCTTTTATCATTTCTGTTGACAATAAATCCTGACAAGAATGCAGATAACAACAACAAGGCAAGCATTAACTTTAACTCAGACTGAATCATATTGTCTTCATTTGTTCTGACATTAAAATATTTTTCTGTATAAAAAAAATAATCTAAATATAAATATTAACACTAAGGATTGAAATCAGTTGATGACAAAATAATTATTTTGTGCTATAACATATACATTTTATGATTTCTTTATAAGAGTAAATTAAATCTTTGCACATTTGGCACAAGTCAAGTTTTATAAAAACTGAAATGGTATACAGTGGGGAAAGGATTTCTTTCTTTTTTTTTGCAGTGCCCAAACAGGAAACATTTTTCTCAAAGAAGACTGAATAGTTTAAAATTTAAACACAGTAGTTACTTTTCATGCCTCTTATGGAAAACATTCTATTCCATACTCAGTTTTGTTTTATATCACATCAACAGAAAAAAGCCAATATGTTATCTATTAAAATTAGTCATGTTGGATTCAATATTACATACACAGTATTAGCTAATAGTGTAATTGAACAAATATGTAAACCACCTGTCATTTCATTTCATTAACACAGATCTGTAGAAACGGGGAATGAATCTTGCACAAATACTGAAAAAATGTGAATTGAAAGTGAATAATTTACAATTGTGTATAAGCCTAATTTTGCTGAGAAGCATTTACTAGATTATACACTATATGGACATCTCTATATTGTAGACAAAATCCTGCCATCAGATTAGTTGTCCCATAAAAGACAAATAAGAGTTACATGCATGTATATGACAACATTTTGTCTGCAAAACAAAGAAAAAACTCAATAACCAAATGTCAATAGAAATTTTAGACAAGCGCCAAGGAATGCACAATAAAATTAATGAAACTATCATTGGTGCAGTTCTATAGTTGTGTAGTAATGTTCTAGGCTTATAATAGTCAGAAGTAGCTCCCATTAAAATGAGCGGGGCTAATTTCTAGAAATTGTATTTAGTACTGCAGTCCTAATCTCTTTTTAAAGACCTTTCAAGGGTGGTGAAAGTTTGGGTTTTTCCTAGCTAATTCATGCTTACTGGGTGAAATGAACATTTTAAAGTGTTACTTGGTATGCTAGTTATATAAGTACTAATGAAAACAGGGCACAAGGGTGCAATCATGTACACTTCATGACTGATTCTTGCCAAAAGTTAGAATCTCTTAACTTCCAGCTAAAACCCTAGAGAATGAACATGAAGTAATATGTTGAAGCCATAAATGGAAGCTATTTATTTGTATGCATTCAGGCAAAATGTGAACTTAAATTATTATTTGTTGTTTTGAAACTTTCAATATGCTCAGTACTGTTGTCTAGATTTTTGCTCATGCAACTGATAAGTTATAAATGATTTTGGATTGTGGCCAGTTTCAGTAGTACCAGCTAGTCAGGGGAATTAACGAAGTATCTCACTTGTCTATGTTTTGGGGACTGAAGAAACTTAACCCAATCCATTTCTTGAAATCATTTCTGGGGAGGCTGAGCTTCCAAATCTCTCTTTCATAAGCTTTGGTATAAACAAAAGAGCCAAGATTATATATCCACTAAAGGGCACTATCACAATCTGGACTTTAAACACGTGATTATACACTTTTAGAAACATTAATGTTTATAGAATGATCACCTATACTTTATAACTGAAGTATTTTCTATCACTGGAGTTGGAGATAATGCATATTAATTTGAAACCTGCCTTTTGGAATAGATTTTTAAATGCTAGACTTTGACTTCTAACAATGGTAAGACTAGAACTTAACTGGGAATACAGCTGGGTCTGCAACTGGCCTTACTATTTCTTGAGGATGGACGAGATTTCAGATCAATCTAGATGAAAGTCTATTTAATCAGCAAATGTAGTCTCCTACTTATATGATCTTACAACATTCGTATGATGCCTAGCAGTATATGTTATAGTGGAATGCAGGTAGAATTACAAATGGAAAATGCTTTCCTTCCTACACTAGAACTATTCAACCTCCTTCCTGGCCATCCTGCTCCACAGTTTATTTCAGGATTACCAGTTATTTCTGGAATTCTTATTGCTCTGATAGTCATACATGACTATGACCATATGAACAGTAAGATCCCAGAAAATATGTATCACAGAATAGATTATTTAAGTTTTCTTTGACCTTCAAATGAGACAATGACTGACATTAATCGAAGAACTGAGAATACAAAAAAACCAGACTGTAACTAAAGATAACATACTTTAGTACAATTGACAGTGTGAATAAAAGTGCATCTTAAAACATGAAGCCTTGAAACTTAGTGTCCTTCCTGGAGTCTCATTAGAACTTTAAGGCAGAGTTTCGACCAGTAGACCACAATACTGAAGACTTGAACATCTTTCTCAGTGAGGTATCCAAACAAAGCCCTATTACTGAGGCATTGTGGGTTCTTGAGAATCCTTTAATTTTTTTTAAACTGGATGTATATAATGGCTGTTATATAAAGGCACTCTAGTGTGCAGCCTTAGGCAGTGTGTCATTGGCAGTAGAATTTTGTAATTCTAGTACATTACAGAAGACCCTATAGTTGGTTCCTAAAATAGAAAAGATATGAAGAAATGTTTAAATAAAATAATGTAAATGTTGAAAATCTTTTAAAAGACAGTTGCAGATAAGATTGGCTATCCTTCTGGGAATTCTCTTTGTTTTTCTATTATTCATAAGGTATCATGACCTTCTGGAGGATTCTTCTCCAATGAGGATTTAGAACGTCTCAGGTTTGGAGATTCTGGGAGAAAATCTCTGAAGACAAATAGGAAACACCCTAACAGAACACCTTAACTGGCCAGCCCAGGAGTTGTCCTAGAAGGATTCTATTCCACCTACAGTGGTCTATTTTCCTTTTGACTCAGAAGGAGTTGTTGGGTCACTGCCGAGCCCCACACGACACTACCACTAGAAGGTCCAGGCATAGGCAGCTATCTAGCAAATGAAATGCTAAGAACATATAATAATAGAACTACTTGAGAGTAAGACTCTCTTTTTGAATAAGAGATTTGAAAACACTACTCATTTGCAGCTCAATCTTGGGCAGAGTTTCTGGGAGCCCAGCATTTACATATCCTCAGTAAATGTAAGGTGGCTGCTTGGACAATGTCTGTTTTAGTCTGATGGTTTAGGAACGATTTATATTGGAGTTATTGTCTAATTAAAATCTGAGTCCCATTGCTGGGACTACCTGACTGAATTCTGCTCACTGCCAAACTATATTACTGTTTTTAAGTTTGGTATCATTCATAACACTGCTCCTTGGATTGCTTTGGTTTCATCTGGTATATTCTGTGCTTTGACTTTGATCCATAGAGTAGTTCAGTCTATGCAAAGAATGGGGTTTGATCAGTTCTAAACAGGACTATGATTAAAGTTAAAAACAAAAACATACTGAAATCCACAAAGACGAAATAGTTATTCATCAACTACATCTTTTTCTCCCTAGAAGTGAACCAGAATGTCACTTAGATCTACAATTTACTGATTTCATGATGCCCTACTATTTGAATGTGTCCCAAAATGTCTTATATAAAACAATGTTTTTTTAATGAATTTTGCAGTTTAATTCAGCATGCTTCATTGATAGATGAATTTTAAAATTCAAAATTGGCACCAAAGTATCTGGTTTGAATAATATGACATTCAAGAACCGTATTTTCTCTGACTACTTTTATTGCTTAGTTATTCAATTTCTGCATTGAATGCAGTTGTGAGCTTTTCTAGAACATCATAACAGAATGGGATCTGTCATTATTCTAGTAATAAAGTAGGGGATGACAGATGATTATGGGACTTGAGATGATTGAATATTATATAAAAGATATTTGGTACATTCCTTCTCACTTATCTCTTTCCTCCTAAGATCTGGGAATGAGATGCCAAACTTTTATTTAATTCTTACCATCAAATCCTTGGCAGTGATCTTTTTTTCTTTTTTTGTTCTTTGTGTCAGAGATCCTTGGAGTATGAAATTCTTGTTAAATGTTCTAACAGGGGTAACTGGAGATGCATCCATGTTTTCATCTGAAAAACATTTGCCGGCTTCCTTCACAATTATATTTTGCATTCAAACATATTGATGGTGGAGGCAAAATGTGTAACTACTAGAAATGCCAATAAAATTATAGGCATCTTAGAGTATAAAAAATTAAAATGGTTGATAAATTGGATTTTTTTCCTAGTTTTTCTGAAGCCCTCCAAAGCATTAGTGAGAAACAACTTACATAGGACTCCCACTCTCTGTTTTCTCTTTACAGTAAAACTTCTCATAGAATTGATTTGATCAAAGGAATAGACATCTACAAATTTGCAAATTTCCTTTGTTGTTTTCCAACCCTATGCAAGCCGTACATATATTATTTTGTATTTTGGAAGATTTCCAGACAACAGCTAAGTCTATATACTAATCTGTCTAAGTTGGAGTTGCTATAAAACACTAACATATGCCTTTGAGAAGTCTTAAAATCAATATATTCTGGGAAGAAGTCATTACATGTATTAATTTAACTTTGAGACAGGTTTTAATATTTTGAAGTGTCCATATTATTTTAAACTAAATATTTACTCCCTGGAAATCAATAGTTGGCAATGGAAGTTGATTCTCCATGCCTTTTTTATTGGTAAGAGATTAGTCCTTCAACACTAGAAAGATACAGGTATGGGCCAGTTACTTAATTGCCTGATGCTACTTTCAGCTTACAAATAAGCTGGTTACAGATGTAGTGTATGTATGGACAAGTATAATAAAAGCTTGTTATCCATTATTGAAATTTCTAGGTAAAAAATTATGTATGTATGTGTATATGCACACACACATGAGATGGTCTTATAATTTTTCTTTTTTCTTTCTCTTTTTATGTTACGTTAATAAAGGCAAAACCCACAAAGAATATGCCACTTAATATACAGAAATAGTAATGGTCATCCTCACATTTCACCTTAAGATACTCCTGTATAAAAGACACTGAATCTTCTCAAAATTAATTACAAAAATATTGAATTATTTAAAATTAAACTTTTCATTCTTGGGTAAAACATCTGTTAAAATTGTTGTTCTGAAATTATTTTTGTTCAGATGTTTCTCATAATGCATTTATAGATAGACAGTTGCACAAATAGAAGCCTCTACTATAAATAGATTTGGGGGGCAGGGGGATTAGTAATAAAAAGTAGCTTTTAAAAAAAGTTTTTCTAATCATGCAATAGTTCTATCTAAAATGGAAAGATAAATGTGTATATGTTTTTAACATAGGACAAATGTTTTAGATATCTTTTTGAACCATATTACACACCTATTCCATGTATGTCCTTTAGTAAGTACTTTTCTCCCTTGCTTCAAACCTAAAAAGTATTTTCCTTCCTCTGATGCTGTTATGCTAAAATATTGGTATCGTTGCCCCTTCTCTTTACCAGTGAACATCCATTAATAATTTTCTCTCTCCAACTGGAAAACGATATAAGCAATTTATTTTTAAGAAGGAAATGTCTTGTCTGATCAGTTTAATGAATGTATAGAAGGGCAAAGTTTATCATGGTTGAAGAAATTTTAAATGCCTGTATCAGGTAGGTGGATTAATAAAAAAAACAGTACTTACAGTTCAGTTTGACAATATCTACTAAAAATAAGCTTTTTGTTGTTGTTGTTACCTTTCATTGGTGGAGCTGGAAGTTTTCGTCTCTGCTGTCTGGATGTGTCTATTGTATATTTCTATAGGAAGAAAAATGCCTTTATTAATGATTATAGTTTATCCAGAACATTTATCCCAAAATATTTAGTTAGTGCATTTAGTTAAAATGCAATAATAAGGTAAGAGCTGTTGCTAAGACCAAAGAGCCTTCAAATTAACTGCTATGGTAATTTTAATATATTTTGGTTTTAATATATGGCGAACATCTTAAAGCTGCATTTATATTGTTCATTTTGCTCAGCTTTCTATTATTTTATTGCCAAACTGCTTTATTTTGTTTTTCTTCTGTGTATTATTCTGTGCATCCCCAGGAAAAAGAGTGGTGGACTGTAGAGTAAATAAGCAGAGCAACTAGTAGCCCGAAGTAGAAACATACTTTCCATTCTACATTGATGTACAGTTTAATGGGGACTCACGTACATTCAATTGCACCAGGATTGCCAGGCACATGGGAGCCTGCTTTAGCACACAAGTCTTCCTTACTAGATTGGTGGCTGATGCTTTTCCTCACCTGGTTTGTCTGGTGATCATGTCTTCTTGTCAAGTGAACACATGGAGCCACATTCAAGCCCGCTACTGAAAGGGCTGAAATTCTGCTCTCAATATCTGAAATCTTGAAAAACAACAACATACATTTATAAAAGAGAAACCGGTTAAGTGAAGAAAAAGTGCAGGTTATTGATCCGTACATCTTTAACTGCAGTCACATCTACTGTATTTGAACCAAATTGTTTAAACTCCAGCTTCTTTTTCTTTCTGGACTCCTATTATTCCTCAGTAACATTTACCTACATAAAGCATATATTCTTCTTCTACATATACATGTAAACAATGCTTTATATCTTGAGTTTAAGTATCAAGGATATGCAAATTATCATGAAGGCCATGCAGTAAGTGGCTTGTTGTCCACCTTACCTGAAGCTCTGCATGATGAACTTGTGCTGCAGCTGTTGCCACTTGGTCCTCTAGATCAGCCAGCTCAGCTTCTGCAGTAATGCTGTTAATTTTCCGAGCTGCATCCTCAAGCTCATTTAGCTGACTCTCCAAGCCATACACACTGCCAGCTGCCAGGTAGACCTAAATAGACCATGTACCACTATCTAGTTAAGTAGGCCTTTAGATTTGTGAAGTCTTATAAAGCATTACAGTTTTAGGTTCCAACTCAAAAAATGCATTTATGTGTTACTTCATTACATTTAATGAGGTGCTGTATACAAGAGGGCCATCCTAACAAAGTCTCCACCTATATGTTGACAGTTTTAAATACTGGAACACAAGAGCAACATATTATGAAGAAAGGGGACAAAGCAAAGTAAATGGCTTCTAGAAAGATAACAGAGAGAAAGCAGAGGTCTAATGGGAAATGATTCCAAAGGAAAACAGCATAAAGGAAGAGGATTAATGGATAAAAG